AAAAAGTCTACATTTTGGTTCTGGTCCTAACTCTATCAGTAACTAAATAATTCCCTTGGTTGAGCCCTAATCTTCTCTAAGCCTGAGTTTACTCTTCTAACATTAAGAGACCTAAACAGGATGTTCTCTAAAGTGCTTTTGGTGTACAGAGATTATTCAAAATGTATGAAAGGAGGAAAAAATACAGAAATTATTTAGAATACAAGAGAATTTTTATCTTCTTGCTGATAAAAAAGATATTATTACACCATCATATAAATAAATGAAAAAACAACAACAACAGAACAAAGCAAAAATAAACTATTTGGACTCCACATCTCACCAAATCATTTGGGAAGACAAAAGCTTAATGTGCCATTACTGGATGTACTGATGTGGTCATTGGACTCAGTTGGACATTAACTTCGACAGAAGTTACTTACTAGAGGAACAGCAATTCTGCAGTTACCAGGATTCTTGATTAACAAAGATAAAAATTCCAAACCTCTTCATCTTTCTACAATCCTGAACTTAAACTGGGCTGGAGGGCAGTGCTAGTTACTACCTTTACAATCAAGTTCCAGCTGGCTCGAAAAGTAAAGATCCATTTAGTGGTATATAAAGCAATTTAATTTTCCAGTCAATACTGCATTTTAACAACTGTAAATGGCAAATACCACTTATTTCAGAAATCTTCAAAGTATAAAGAAAAAGACGTATTTTACACAAGGTAATTTATGACTTTTCACAAATATACAAACCACAAAAGGGATAATATACAATATTGACTAACCCTGCTCTACTTAGGAAACTTCAAATTATGTAAATGTAAGCCAAAAAGAGTTCTCAGAAAATCTGCACATTAAAAAAAAAGTATTCCCAAAGGGACCTCAATTACTATTGCCTATTAAAAGTAACTGTAACATAGTTATGACAGAGTTTGTGTATCACCATAAACTGTTGAAAAACAGTTTAAAAATATTTCACTGTTTAAAACTGTTTAAAAATATTTCACGCTATTAACATGATGCCATGAATTTGCTTCAAAAGAATCTGGTAGAGCAGCAATACTTATATCAGACAAATAGACTTTAAACAAAGGTTATAATAAGAGACAAAAAAAAAAGGCATTACATGATGATAAAAGGATCAATATATCAAGAGGACAAACCGTAGTAAATATATACACACCCAACATAAGAGCATCTACATACATAAAGCAATTATTGACTGACATGAAAGGAGAGATCAACAGTAGTACACTCATTGTAGGAGAATTTAACACAGCATTGACAGCAATGGACAGGTCTTCCCGACAAAAAATCAACACGGAAAAAATGGGACTAAAAGACACACTAGACCAGAAGGATTTAATAGATATTTTCAGAGCATTTCACTCCAAAGCAGAAAAATATACATTCTTCTCAAGTGCACATGGAACATTTTTCAGGACAGACCACATGTCAGGACACAAAACAAGTCTCAATAAATTTAAGAAGATCGAAAACATATCAACCATCTTCTCTGATCACAATGAATGAAACTAAGTATCAACTACAAGAAAAAGCTGGAAAATACACAAATGCATGGAGGCTAAATAACATGCTACTAAACAATGAATAGGTTAACAATGAGATCAAGGAAGAAATCAAAAGATAACTAGAGACAAATGAAAATGAAAACATGATAACTCAAAATCTATGGGACACAGCAAAAGCAGACCTAAAGGAAATTCATAGCAATATAGGCCTACCTCAAGAAACAAGAAAAAGCTCAAATAAACAATCTAACCTTACACTTAAAATAACTAGAAAAAGAACAGCAAACAAAGCCCAAAGTGAATACAAGGAAGAAAATAATAAAGATCAGAGGGGAAATAAATGAAATAGAGTCTAGAAAAATAATACAAAAGATTAATGGAATTAAGAGCTGCTTCTTTGAAAGGATAAAGAAAATTCACAGACCCTTAACCAGACTCATCAAGGAAAAAAGAGAGAAGACTCAAATAAATAAAATCAGAAACAAAAGAGGAGAAATAACTACTGACCCAAAGAAATACAAAGAATCATAAGAAAATACGATGAGCAATTATACACCAACAAATTGGACAATCTGGAAGAAATGGACACATTCCTAGAAACATACAGTCTCCCAAGACTAAGTCAAGAAGAAACAGAAAATATGAATTGATCGATTACCACCAACAAAATAAAATCAGTAATCAAAAACCTCCCAGATAACAAAAGTCCTGGACCAGATGGCTTCACAGATGAATTTTACCAAATATTTAAAGAAGAATTATCACCTATACTTCTCAAACTCTTCCAAAAAATTCAAGAAGAGAGAAGGCTTTCTAACTCCTTTCATAAGGCCACCGTTACAACTTGATTGCAAAACCAGACAAAGACGTTACAAAAAAAGAAAATTACAGGCTGATATCTCTTATGAATATCGATGTAAAAATCCTCAATAAAATATTAGCAAAATGAATTCAGTGATACATTAAAAATATCATACACCATGATCAAGTTAGATTTATTCCTGGGATGCAAGATTGGTACAATATCTGCAAATCAATTAATGTGGTACACCACATTAACAAAACGAAAGATAAAAAACCATATGATCATATCAATAGATGCAGAAATAGCTTTTGACAAAATCCAGCATCTATTTATGATAAAAAATCTCAGCAAGTGGGCTTAGAGGGAACATACTTCAACATAATAAAGGCCATATATGACAAACCTACAGCTAACATCACACTCAATGGGGAAAGCCTTTTCCTTAAGATCAAGAACAAGATAAGGATGCCCACTTTCACCACTCCTCTTCAACATTGTACTGGAAGTCTTAGCCACAGCAATCACACAAGAAAGAGAAATAAAAGGTACCTGAATTGGAAAGAAAGAAGTAAAACTCGACTTATTTGTCGATGACACGATACTATATATAGATAACTCTAAAGATTCCACCAAAAAACTGTTAGAACTGATGAATGAATTCAGTAAAGGAGTACGATAGAAAATAAATATTCAGAAGTCAGCGGCATTTTTATACACCAATGATGAACTTTCAGAAAGAGAAATTAAGAAAACAATACCATTTACAATTGCATCAAAAACTATAAAATACCTGGGAATCAAATTAACCAAGGAGGTAAAGGACCTGTTTTCATAAAATTATAAATCATTGAAAAAAGAAATTGAAGAAACAAATAAATGGAAGCATATACCGTGCTCATGGGTAGGAAGAATCAACATCATTCAAATGGCCATACTACCCAAAGTCTACGGTAGTCAAAACAACATGGAACTGGCACAAAAATAGATACATTGATCAAGAGAACAGAATAGAGAGCCTAGAAATAAATTCACATCTATACACTCCTTTAATATTTGGGAAAGGAGGCAAGAATATACAATGAGATAAAGACAGTCTGTTCAATAAATAGTGTTGGGAAAACTAGACAGATACATGCAAAAAAAAGAAACTGGACCACCTTCTTACACCATATATAATGATAGATTCAAAATGGATTAAAGATGTAAGTGTAAGACCCAAAACCATAAAACTTCTAGAAGAAAACATAGGCAGTAAACGCTCTGATATTACTAACAGTAATTTCTTTTTGGATATATCTCCCTGGGCAAGGAAAACAAAAGAAAAAATAAATAAATGGGACTAATAAAACTAAAAAGTTTTTGTACAGCAAAGGGAACCATTAACAAAACAAAAAGACAACCAAGTGATTGGGAGATGTTTGCTAATGATACATCTGATAAGAGGTTAATATCCAACATATATAAAGAACTTATACAACTCAACAACAAAAAAACAAACAATCCAATTTTAAAATGGGCAGAAGATCTGAACAGATAGTTCTCTGAAGAGGAAATACAGATGGGCAATAGTCATATTTTCGAAAAGATGCTCAAGGTCTTTAATCATCAGAGAAATGCAAATTACAATCACAATGTGATATCACCTAACACCTGTCAGAATGGCTATATCAATAAATCAAAGAACAACAAGTGTTGGTAAGGACATAGAGAAAAGAGAACCCTCTACACTGTTGGTGGGATTGCAAACTGGTATAGCCATTATAGAAAATAGTCTAGAGGTTCCTCAAAAAATTAAAAATGGATCAACCTTTTGACCTAGCAGTTGCACTTCTGGGTATTTACCCAAAGAAAACCAAAACACTAATTTGTAAAGATCTATGCATCCCTATGTTCATGGTAGCACAATTCACAATAGCCAAGATATGGAAACAACCAAGTGCCCATTAACAGACAACTGGATAAAGAAGTTATGGTTCATATATACAATGGAATATTACTCAGCCATAAAAAAGTGAAATCCTACTATTTACAACGACATGGATGGACCTAGCAGTTATCACGCTGAGCGAAGTTAAGTCAGACAGAAAAAGATAAATACCATATAATTTTACTTACTTTCAGAACCCAAGGAACAAAAAGAAGAAATTAATTGAAAACAGACTCAGAAATACAGAGAACAATCTGGTGACTGCCAGAGGGGAGGGGAGTTAGGGAACTGGGAGAAGAGGGTGAAGGGTTAAAGCAGTACAAATTAGTAGTTGAGAGATCGTCACGGGGATGGGGAACACGGCAGAGGGAACGTGGTCAGAGTAGTATAATGGCTATGTGTAGAGCCAGAGGGGTAACAGTAATCGGGGGGATCGTTTCATAAGCTGTACAAATATCTAACCAATGTACTGTATACTTGAAACTAATAATAAAATAAAATGTTTGGAAAAAAAAAAAAGAATCTGGTACAAGGGGACTAGGGTGGGAGAAATCCAGGAATGGTAATAAGTTAGTTAATGAATTGATAACTGTTGAAGCTGAGTAAGAGGTATATGGCGGCCCATTACCCTAGACTTTAAAATTCCATGTGTGTTTGACATTTTCTCCATAAGAAAAATTTAAGTTATTTGTATACTCTTGATAAACAAATTTAATCCTCATATCCTAAAAGTAAAGAAAGACTAGTACCTTCCAATCTTTGAATTTTTGCTTTCACAGAAATTACAGCTTCAAAGGGTGAAACTCTCAGCTCAAAACATGTTCCAGTCAATGTTTCAATGAAGAGCTCCATGGTATCATAAAAAGGAAGTTTGTAATAAAATGGTCCCACGTTATCTTCATTGAAGAATGGAGGATCTTTTCTGTTATCCATTACTTTGACTTTTCTAATTCCTCTGGAATATGTTGTAGGCAACTGTATTCCAGTTCTAGCCAAATCAGCTTTGAACATTGGTAATATGTATTGTTGTTCATGTTTTGAGTTTTGTACCTAAAAAACAAGAATAATTATTTTAATAAGCCTATTTGAAAATCTCATTCCTCCATAAACATTTTCTGAACAACTCTGGCCATTATTAATCTTCTAGACAGCCCCAGGATTCATTTTAGTGCTTACTATGCTAATTCCGAACTTTTCACATTTGTCTCTGAAATCACTCCCATCCCCCAATTAGACTGTAAGATTATTAAAAACCAGGTGTATTTGCAATAATTTTCCGTATCTTACTAGAGCTCAGCACTGTTCTTTATATACAGTACATGCTCAACAATTATTTTTCTTGTTAATGATATTTAAACCAACGAACTCAATAAGTATGTATTTGCAAGACTTTGAAAAATTTACGTATATCCTTTTCTAAAACACCTAAGTTATGTTTTCTAACCAAATAAAGTATAATTTATAGCCGCTATACATTTGAACCACACTGAATAGAAGGAATACCAACCATTTTAATAGATTCCTTAAAAATAGGACCCACTAAATAATCAATGAGCATTTGAGTTTCCAGAGGTTATCCATCAGTATAGCACTGAGATGGTTAATGCTGGTAACAGACATTACTCATAACCTCCATACACAAACATACAATGACTAATAAATCTGAGAGGCAAACACAACTGACAGAAGTACTAAGATAAATTACAAGTGTATAATTAGAAGAATAGGAATAATGAAATTGATAAATTGCTATTAATCAGTGAAAACTTTGTAAAGGGGGTTGGGTCTTGACCTTAAACTAGACGACAGATGATACACATCTTTCTGGAGAGGTAAGTAAATCTTAATAGCTTTATCTAATATAATTTACATACCACAGAATTCACCCATTTACAGTCTAAAATTTACTTGTTTTTAGTATGTTTAAGATTTGTACAACCATCAGAATCATTTTTAGAACATTTTCACCACCTCAAAAAGGAATGCTACACTCTTCAGACATCACTCCCAAATTCTCCCTTTCCCTTTCAGCCCTAGGCAACCACTAATCTACTTTCTATCTCTATAATTTTGCCTATTCTGGACCTTCCGCTATAAATAGAATCATAATATATAATATTTTGTGAAATATTTAGCATGTTTTCAAAAGTTCATCCATGTTCTAGGATGTATCAGTACTTTATTCTTTGTTAATGGCTAAATAAATGTTTATTCAGTCATCAGTTGATGGGCATTTTGAATTGTTTCCAATTTTTGGCTATTATGAATAATGCTATGAGAACATTTGAGTTTTTGTGTGGACATGTTTTCTTTTCTCCCCACATATATCTAGGAGTGGAATTACTGTGTATGTGGTAGCTCCACATTTAGCAATTTGTGGAACTACCAAACTGTTTTCAAAAGACATCTGAACCATTTTAAATTCCCACCAGGAATGGATTAGGGTACTAATTTCTCCGTGTTCTTGTCAATACTCTTCATTGTCTTTTTGATTAAAGTCATCCTACTGGTGTGAAGTACTGTCTCATTGTGATTGTGACTTGCCTTTCTCTAATGACAATGGTACTGAGCATCTTATGTGCTTATTGCCGTTTGTATACCTTCTTTACAGAAATATCTCTTCAGAAAGTCTATTCAGATCCTCTGTCCATTTTCAATTGGGTTGTCTTTTTATTATTGAGTTGTAAGGATTTTTTAAGTTTTCTAGATACAAGCCTCTTAACATATACATGAGTTGCAAATATTTTCTCCAGTTTTAAGGGTTGTCTTTTTAACTTTCTTAATGGTGTTCTTTGAAGTACAAAAGTTTTAAACTTTCATGAAGTCCAATTTGGCTATTTTTCTGTTGTTGCTGTGCTTTTTGTGTCATATTTTAAAAGCTTTGCCTAATTCAAGACAATAAAGATTTACAGCTGATCTTTGAACAACACAGATTTAAACTGTGCAGGTCCACCTATATGCAGATCTTTTTCAATAAATATATTTAAAACATTTTTAGAGATTAGTGCCAATCTGAAACACAGACAAACCGTGAAGCCTAGAAATATTGAAAAATTAAGAAAAAGTTAGGTACGTCATATATACAAAAAATTTATGTAGGTACTAGTTTGTTTTATCATTTACTACCACAATATATACACAAATCTATTCTAAAGAGTTAAAATTTAACAAAACTTAAGCACATAATCACGCCAGTTGAGAGGAATGTAAACAAATGTCATATTAAATCATAACTGCATAAAAATTAACTGTTGTATATACTGTACTAATGTAATAATTCTATAGTCATCTCCTATTGCTATTGCGGTGAGCAAGTATTGCAAGAATCTACTTGAAAAACTATGTGATGCTAATCACCTCCACGTAAGCAGTTCATCCCTCCAGTAGAACTGTATTGCAGTAAAAAGTGATCTCTCAAGGTTTTCACGTATTTTTCACTGTGTTTAGTGTAATACCCTAAATCTTGAATGATACCATTGGACCCATAAAAAGTGCTACTAGTGATGCTATAAGTCCTACCAAAAAGCAGAGAAAAGTTATGACATAAGAAGAAAAAGTTGAATTGCTTGATATGTACTATAGAGCAAGGTTTGCAGCTGCAGTTGCCCACCATTTCAAGATAAAAGAATCCAGCATAAGAACCATCGTTTAAAAAAAAAAAAAGAAAAAAAGGAAATTTGTGAACCCATTGCTGCAACATCAACAGCAGGCATGAAAACCTTGCAAAATATACCTTTTTAACTTGTGTTGAAAATGCAGTTTTAACGTGAGTGCAAGATTGATATAAGAAAGGTATACCTATAGACTCTATATGATTTAAGAAAAAGCAAAGCCATTATTTGGCTATAACTTAAAGGATCTAAAGCTGAAGAATTTAATGGCAGTAAATGATCATTTGATAATTTTCGAAAGAGGTTTGGCTTAGAAAATGTCAAAATACAAGGAGAAGCAGCTTCTGACCAAGAAGCAGCAGACCAGTTCTCAGGCACTATTAAGAAAATCACAGAGGAGAAATGATATCTGCCTCTCAGGTTTTTAATGCAGATAAAAGTGCCCTATTCTGGAAAGGAAAAATGCAACAAAGGAAGGGACAGGCTAACTCTAATGTTCTGTGCAAATACAGTTTGACTTATGATCAGGACTGCCCTTATCCATAAAGCTGCTAAGCTAACCCCTGAGCCTTGAAGGGAAAAGATAAACACCAGCTGCCAGTATTGGTTGTACAAGATGGCCTGGACAACAAGAACACTTTTTTCTGGATTGGTTCCATCAATCCTTGAAGTCAGGAAGTACCCTGCCAGTAAGGAACTGCCTTTTAAAGTTATCTTGATATTGGACAATGCTCCCGGCCACCCAGAACCCCATGGGTTCAACACTGAAGGCATCAAAGCAGTCTACTTATCCTGAAACTCAATATCTCTACTACACTCTCTAGATCAGGGGAGTTATAAGGACCTTTAAGGCTCATTTCACACAGTGCTCTATGGAAAGGATTGTCAATGCTATGGAAGAGCACCTCAAAGGAGAGAATATCATGAAAGTCTGGAAGGATTATACCATTGAAGATGCCATCATTGTTATAGAAAGAGCTGTAAGAGCCAACAAGCCCCAAACAATAA